AAAGAGTGTTAGTGAGTGTGGGAAAGGGAGAAAGCATCCCCTCAAAATTGGGTGTGGCCATAGCACAATCTCTTTTCCTCCATCTCTCCCTCCTGTTTGGATTCGGGGCACACCCGCACATGTGCCTAGTGTGTTTCTCAAGCTGCTGGGTCCTGGACACAAACTGCAAGGTCAGCCATTTGTGATCCAATTGGCTGGCCCCAACTTGCTTGGAACATTCTTATTGTTCTGCAGCAGGGCATCAAACTCGCAAGGGTGCTTTCTGAAATGCTGGTTCTTGGCCTCTGGTCCCCAAATGGGATGGGACTGGAAGAGCTGCATCTTTAATAAGATCCATCCTTAGAGATTCTGATGCAGGTGTTCTGAGAACCAGAATTTGAGAAACATTGGTAAAACTCTAAGTCCTCCCTTCCAAGTGGAGTGCAAACACCCTAGGAAATGATCACAATAATTTATTGAAAAATAGAAAAATATTGCCAAGTATATAAAAAGAAAATAATAAATTAAGCTGTTCTTTTTAGAAAATAATTATTTATGTAATTTTATTTATTATCATTATTCTTTTTAAATTTACTATAGGATATGTGTGTTCACCAGAGACAGACAGAGAGAGAGGAAAGCAAGAAAGCATGCCTCCAAGTCAAAGACTCAAGCCGTGGTCAGCCATATAGGAGTCCAGTGCCCCAGCCACCATGCCATCTGCTGGCCTCTGATTTAAGCTTTTCTTTCTTTTTTAGAGAGAGATTTTTGCTATAGGATGTGTGCATTCACCAGCAGAAACAGATCATGAGAAATCGCCTCCTGGGGGGTGGTCATGCTGCAATCCCTTCTCCTCCACTGTCCTCTCGGGATTTTGGGCTTGTACATGTCTGGCATGAGTCCCAAGTCACTGAGACCAGGACTTGAACCACAGTCAGCCATGTAGGATTCCAGCACCTTAACCACCATGCCACCTGCTGGTCCCCAAATTAAGCTTTTCTTTAAAAAAAAAAAAAAAACTTTTTAAAAATAATTTATTATTTATTTAACTGCATTTCTCGTTATTATTATTTTTTGATTTGACCATATAAAGATAGATAGATAGATAGAGAGAGAGAGAGAGAGAAAGGGAAGGTGAGAGAGCAGGCCGCCAGGTCTGGGTCACGAACCACAGCTGGCCATGTGGGGATCCAGTGCTTTTAACCTCCATGCCACTTGCCAGCCCCCAAATTAAGTTTTTTGAATAGCTATTTACTATGGTTTAATATCTGTGTATTTACTGGGACCAGCAGTTGGTGTAATGGCTATGTCTCTGGACTCCCATGTAGTCGACCATGGTTCAAGGCCCAGACCCAGTGGCTTAATCTCACGCTAGGCACATGTGTGTGTGTGTCCAAGATCCCAAGAGGAGAATGGAGGAAAGGGATTGCAGCATGGCCATCCCCCTGGGGGGTGATTTCTCACTTTCTGTCTCTCTGACTCTCTCTGTCTTTCTGGCAAACGCACATGTCCTATAGTGAAAACCTCTCAAAAAATATATATATCTATTGTATTTACTAATACCTGTATTTTAATCGTTAATGACATGTAATGATATTTATTAATATATAACATAAAACTGACAATAGTACAGATAAATATACATTTTTGGGGGTGAATGCTCAAAAAACTTCCATTTTGATTTCTTTTTAAAATTGTGAAATATTTTTAGACATTCACAAAGATACCAAGAAAAACATATTAAGCTTCCATTTACCCCCACCCAGGTCCAGAAATAAAACCTAAGCATAATTAAAGCTCCTAGATTACTTTTTTCTTCAACTATATCCCTCATCCTTCCTGAGAGGTAACCAATGCAGTGAATTTTAGATCTTATATTTATTATTCATGGTGTGTCTTTATAGGTTTGCTGCATATGTATGTTATCCCTAGGCAAGATCTATTATGTTGCATGTTTTTAGACTTATATAAATAAAAGCCATTATTCGGTATATAATCCATCTGCAACTTGCTTTTTTCACTCAACATTGTGTTTAGATTTATCTATGTTGATACACGTAACTCTGTTTCAGTCATTTTAACTGCCATATGGCTTTCCATTACTGAGATATTTGTATTGTTACCAATTCTTTGCTATTACACAGAAAAACCTTGTATGCTTTTCCCCACTTTTTAAAAATAGTTTACTGATGAAATGCACCTATCCAAAAATTCTGGCTTTCTTTTAATTTTTTTTTTTTTTACCAGAGGGTATGTGTGCTCACTGGAGAGAGAAAGAGAAAACGTGTCCATGGGGAATGGCCACCTCACAGTCCCTTCTCTAGTTCTCCCTCCTTTGGGGATTCTGGGTACGCACTCACATGCCCAGTGTGCTTCTCAAGCCTCCAGGTCCAGGACTTGAACCACACAGTTAACCATGTGGAATCCAGCTGTCTGAACTGCCACGCCACTGGCTGACCTAAGTTTGGCTTTCAAATCTTGACCCAGAGTAAGAAATACATATTGCATGGCAATGTAATGTACATATACACACACATAGCTAAAACAAACATTTCCCAGACCAGTGCTTCTGTGTGTGATATGCTCTGGAATTTCCCATTCCCACCAATTAGCATGATTTCCGGACCCTTGTGGGTCCCTTACTCCAGGCCAGCTTCCCACTTTGTGGTTGGTTGATCACCATATTTTCCTCCCTGAGTGTCAGCCCTTTTGAACTCCTCCTGGGAATTTTTTTTTTTTCCTCCTGGAAAATTTTGATCAGCCGGGATGCCCTATGATAGTCCTTGGTGCAGATTTGGAATAAATGATTCTCCTACCAAACTCCTTTACCAAACTCCTTTTAGACAGAGGCACGAAGGCATTGGTGTCATTTATGTGGCAGGTTACCCGAATGAATATCTATGATTCAGATTCATTTATTATTGGAGGCATGGCTGCTAAAAGGGGAAAAAAAGCCACTAGACACTGGGATACACAGAGCTAGGCATATCCTTATATTAAAAATTATATATATTAATTTTTATAATATTTTAAATTCCATCTTTCCTTTTTCTTTTTTTTTTTTTATTTTTAATTTCACCAGAGAGAGACAGAGAGAAAGGGAAAGGGAGAAAGCCAACCACCCATGAAACTGCCCTGCATGGGAATCCCTCAACCCACCTCATCCCCACACTGTCACCCTCTCACTATCCCTTTCCTAGAGATCCAGCTCAAATATCACTCCCTTCAAGAAGCCTTCCTTAACTAGACCCTCTGTCAAGCTATACTAAGCCCTCTTGAAGCAGGCCAGCTTGAGGTTTAGCAGGACTGCAGCCATTTTGGAATTAAGAAAAGACCTCTAGGGACTCCCACATAGCTGACTGCAGTTCAAGTCACAGACTTGGTGGCTTGGTTTCTCACTTTCCCTCTCTCTATCTCTCTCCGGTGAGTGTGTGAGCCCTGTAGCAAATTTTAAAATAATAATAATAATAAATAAAAATTAAATAAGGGGCCAGCAGGTGGTGTGGTGGTTAACGCGCTAGCAGTGGGTGTGGTGGTTAACGCGCTGGACACTCCCACATGGCTAACCATGGTTCGAGTCCCAGACCTGGTGGCTTGGTTTCTCACTTTCCCTCTCTCTCTGTGTCTCTCTGGTCAAATTAAAATAAATAAAATTAAATAACTCTTAAAAAATTAAATAATTCCCTTTCTGTGCAGATGGCAAGCCAGCAAACATGGTAAATATCTCTAAAACTCGACAGACTTTCTGTAAGAAGTGTGGCAAGCACCAACCTCACAAAATTACACAGTACCAAAAAGGCAAGGAGTCTTGTGCTCAGGGAAAGGGCGTTATGACAAGAAGCAGGGTGGCTATGGCAGACAGACTAAGCCTATTTTCCGGAAAAAGGCAAAAACGACAAAGAAGATTGTGCTGAGGCTTAAATGTGTTGAGTCCAACTGCAGATCTCAGAGGACGCAGGCTGCTAAGAGATGTAAGGAACCAGCAGATGGCGTAATGGTTACATCACTGGACTCCCATATGGCAGACTGCAGTTTGAGTCTCAGATCTGGGGACTTCGACAGACTAAGCCTATTTTCCGGAAAAAGGCAAAAACGACAAAGAAGATTGTGCTGAGGCTTAAATGTGTTGAGTCCAACTGCAGATCTCAGAGGACGCAGGCTGCTAAGAGATGTAAGGAACCAGCAGATGGCGTAATGGTTACATCACTGGACTCCCATATGGCAGACTGCAGTTTGAGTCTCAGATCTGGGGACTTCAAAATCACACTGGGTGGGACCAGCAGTTAGCATAATGGCTATGTTGCTGAACTCCCACTTAGTCAACCTCAGTTTGAGTCCCGGACCTGGTGGCTTAAACTCACGCCAGACGCATGTGCGTGTGTGCCCAAGATCCCAAGAGGAGAGTGGAGGAGAGGGGATTGTGGTGTGGCCATCCCTCATGGAGGGTGGTTTCTCGCTTTCTGCCTCTCTGTTCTTTCTGGGGAGGGCCCACGCCCTATAGCGAAAAATCTCTCTCAAAAAAAAAAAAAAAATACTGTCTTAAATTTTTATTGCCTATCTTACTGCCTAACTACCACCCTCTCCTATGCCGACCTCCATGCCTCAAACTGGGAAGCCTCCTTAAAAGGTAGGGATTATGTTGTTCAGCCAGCCTAACACTAGGCCAGGGACCAGCAGGTGGTGTAATGGTTACATTACTGAACTCCCACGTAGTTGATAATGGTTCGAATCCCAGATGTGGCAGCTTAAAACTCATGCCAGGAGCATGTGCATATGTGCTCAGAATCCTGAGAGAACAGAGGAGAAGGGATTGCAATGTGGCTGGTCTCCCTTGGGGGTTATTTCTTGCTTTCTGTCTCTCTGGTGAATGCAAGTGCCCTATAGCAAAACTCTCTAAAAATAAAATTAAAAAACACTAGGGCAAATACCTTGCAGTTGCTCAGTGTTTTGTGGAACAAAGTAAGAGAATCCCACACTCACTGAGGAGGAATGGAAGACAGGTAGACCACGGGGGCCCACGATCAGGCAGTGGAGGCAACCATAGGAGACAGCTGAGGCAGACGACCCTGAGGGCGTGTGCGAGACCAGCAGGGGTGTGTGTGTGGTGATGAGGACTGTAGTCACATGGCAGGATGACAAGCACCACCAACAGAGCTCTGATAATCCAGGAAGGCCTCCTAAGTGGGAGGTCCACATCACCTCCAAAAACTGACTTGGGGCTCAGGACAGGTCCACCCTGTACCCCTGCTCTTCCCTGAGAGTCTAGGGTCTAGGTTGTGATCGTTCAAAAAGTGTTGCTTCTTCAGGTCCCCACTCCCAACTCCAGCCTTAGAGGAGTCAAGGAACAGATTGCCTTACGATAGATTGATGTCGTCTCTCTCCATGCAGTTCACCAAGCTGCCTCTTGAAGAAAGTGGGAGTCCTTTGGTAGTGACCGTCCGGTTCATAGACTTGGGGTTTGGGAAGGGCTTGGGCAGTTGGTCAAATGCATCCCTGGCACTGAGGCTTTCCTTCTTTAGCATGATGATCTCTTCCCCATCTCCCACTTTACAGAGTGCCTCGGATGCCATCGTGTTTGGTTGGGACTATGGCTGTCACCATGCAGGACAACCAAGCTGACAAGAAGCAGAGAGAAACTGTGAGGCAGATGACCCACCCTTAGTTTGGATGAGATAGGGGTGCAATGAGCTGACTTCACAATCCTCACAGTGTAACAATTAGAGGCAGCCTCCCTTTGAGGCTGCTGCTAGGCTTGCTGTGAGGCTAGCTGGACTGTGAGCCGGCGTCCTGGAATGGAGTCAAGGAACAAACTGCATGACCCCATCGGTCTGCCCAGCTCTAACACCGTGGGGACAGTGGCTCTGCCTTGCTCTGAAGATCTCACAATATGTAACACCTGTGCCCTTCAGCACTGCCCTGGAAGGGGTAAGATGGTGAGAGAGGCACCTGAGCAGCTGGGCTGCTGGAGGTAGGCCATACTGGAAAGGGAGGCAGGGGGCTTTGTCTATAACCTGGCATTGTAGACAGTCCACCCCACCATGCCCAGTCCTACAGGCACAGGAGAAGCCCGGACGGTCCTCACTTAGGCCCAGATTTTACTGCTAGATTCTAAATGTGCCACACCCTCATTCCCAAGTCACTTCATGTGTAGAGTGACAATGGCAAGTGTTGCAGAGGGACACAAATGGGGGCCAGACCTGATCTCTGCTCTCAAGGAAACCGTTTTACAACAGGACAATGTGTATACAACTTTATGGGTGGGATGGAGACAGAAGCTGTTAAAACAGTATTGGCAGGGCTGGCAGGTGGCATGTGGTTAAGAGTGCTGGACTCCCATATGGCTGACTGCAGTTCAAGTCCCAGACCTGGTGGCTTGCTTTCTCACTTTCCCTCTCTCACGCTGCCCTTCTCTGGTCAAAATAAAATAATTCTTTAAAAACAAAACAAAACCAGCATTGGTTTTGCACTTCAGTATGGCTTTAATGTCCAGGCCCATACTTACTCTGTAACCTTTGGCAAGTGACTTAATCTCACTGAGCCTCAGTTTCCTCACCTGTGAAACAGGGGTAAAAAATAGTGGGGCCAGCAGATGGTGTACTGGTTACACTGCAGGATTTCCCATGGCTGACCATGGTTGGAGTCCTTAACTCAATAGCTTGAACATAATTATTTTATTTTATTTTATTTATTTTCAATTTGACCAGAAAGAGAGAAAGTGAGAAAAGCAAGCCACCAGGTCCAGGACTCGAACTGCGGTCAACCATGTGGGAGTCCAGTGCCTCAATCACCATGTCACCAGTTGGCTCCATATGCCAAAAAACTTGAAAAAAAAAAAAAAGCGAGTAGCTTCTTCATAGGTTTGTGAACAGAAAACGCAGTTGTTTTATTTCTTCTCTCCTATTAAAAAACAAACAGGGACCAGCAGTTAGCGTAATGGCTATGTGGGAGTCTGGCTGGACTCCCACGAAGTCAACCGCGGTTCGTGTCCAGGACCCGGTGGCTTAGAACTCACGCCGGGTGCGTGTGTGTGCGTGCCCAGGATCCCGAGAGGAGTATAGAGGAGACGGGATTGTGGCGTGGCCATCCCCCCTGGGGGGTGATTTCTCGCTTTCTGTCTCTCTGTCTCTGTCTCCTCCCTGGGGGGAGGGGGGTGATTTCTCGCTGTCTGTCTGTCTGTCTCTCTCTGTCTTTCTGGTGAGGGCACGTGCCCTATGGCAAAAACCTCTCAAAAAAAAAAAAAAAGACAAAAAAACCTGGAAAATACAAAGATTCAATGCCTTCAGTGTGCTTTGCTGCTTCTCAGTCCCTATCATGTAATCTGCAATGATCTGCAATGAAAATGATGTATTTGACTCATTTTCATTGTCCTCACTGCCATGAAAGCCTCCTGAGGGCAGAGGCTTGTCCGTCTTGTTTTGTTTCCCGTTTCTAATGGAAACTGGCACATGGGAGGCGCTTTAGAAGGTCACTGGGGCGGAAGGTAGAGGCCGAGTGCAGCTGTGGGTCATGTGTTGTGCAGGCGGGATGTCGTTGGACACGGGACGTGGTGCCAGGCGGTGGCTCACAGGTGGCAGTGCGGAGGCGCGCGTAGCGGGTTCGCAGCGGTGCTGCCCGGCGCCGCCCGCAGATGGCGCTGTAGGCCAGGCCTGGGCC